TCTCTAATAAAAATAATTCAACTCTATTAAAGTAAAATGTATTTGATGTCTTCTATCTAGATTAGAACTTTTCAATCTTATTATACTTGAAAATTACACATAAAAGAAGCATGTTAACAAGGTAAAATCTCCAACCCTACACCCAGATTTTGGAACATTTGGAAGTGTGTGTGTGTGTGCGCGTGTGTGTGTGTGCGTGCGTGCGCACGTGTGTGTGTATGCGTGTGTGCATGTCTGGGACAGGATCTCACTCTGGTATCCTGGTGGGAGTGAAGTGGTGTAATCATGGTTCACTGTAGCCTCAAACTTCTGGGCTCAAAGAATCCCCCTGCTTCAGCTTCCCAAATAGCTGGGACTATAGGCACCTGCCACTACACCTGGTTCATTTTTAAACTTTTTGTAGAGATGCGGTCTCACTATGTCACCCAGGCTGGTCTTGAACTCCTGAGCCCAAGTGATCCTCCTTCCTTGGCCTCCCAAAGTGCTGAGATTACCGGTGCAAGCCACTATGCCTGGCAGGAAATGTGCATTTTTAAACACAAATTTTCCAGGTAAAGTGGTTCTGACTACACTTTGAAAAACACCTTCCAGTCAACCTCCAAATTAAGCTGGGCCAAAAAAGAGCCATGTAACCAGCATAGGGGGTGTCACACTTGTCAGGCCCCTCTTATTATGACTGGTTTCACTGAATGACACTTGAGTCTACAAGGTAAGAAACTGCCAGCCTTATGAGAGATCGACCTAGATTTATGATACCTGCACCAAATACATAGATAAAACCAGAGGTGCGACTTACTGCCTAGCCAGTACCATTCAGGAAAGCACAATCAACAGTCTTGCCAGAACAGGAGGCACAATCCAGGGCTGCCCAGAATGCCCAGTGGTGCTCCTGGTTGAACGGCTTGCTCATGACTCCCCCTTTCTTCCGTGGGACAAACAGAGGAACATATCTTCCTCCAGACTCGGAATTAATAGCTGAACCATCATTCTCACATTTGCTTTCTTCTTATCCTGTGGACACTAAATTATTCCTTTCTTACTGCCTGCTGATACCTCAAAGCCAACTAACACTACCTTTTGCAATTCTGCAGTATTTAAAAGTTGCAATTAAATAGACACACGTGTCTATAAACCGCACTCCTGGTTTTGGTCTCTCTGTTACATTCTTACTGCAGTCCATACTCTACATTCCTTTATTTTTAAGGTGGATTCTACTGTGCTCTTTCGTATATATCTATGTGAGCTTTCTGAAATCTGTTCTGAAATAGGAGGTAGTGTAAATATATCAAACGACAGACTACATTTATTCATTAGGGACATTTTATGGGCTTCTTTAGTAACTCAAGATCATGAGTCTCAAAAGCAGGGTTGAGGAAATCACTTCTCAAAACCGAGTTCCAGGTACCAGAACCCAATCTGAACACGGACAAAACCCCCGAGCTCCTCTGTGGTTTCATCTGTCAGTCTCCATACAGTACAAATTTTCTCATCAGTGTTTATCAGGACCACTGTTAACCCTAGGGTGTGAATACCGGCATGTCTTAACGGATGGTACAAATGTTTAGAAATAACTAGTGGTTTAATTTATTTTTCATTCAGCTATCTGTATTACTTGCATTAGTGCCGAGCAATGTGTCTAAGTAGTAAGAGCCAGGTGAACCACCCAGAACCAGCTCTGGAGAATTCTTTCTGTGTACTTGGGGCACTCTGTGCCCCAAATCTGCCTGCGTGAGGTGCCTGGACACCATGGGAATGGATGCAGCGGCTGGTACAGCTGCCTGAGGTCCTGCAACCTCATGGCCACCCTGGAAAATTGTCCAGGTTGTGCAATGAAGCTGTGTATGTGTGTGTGTGTGTTCATCTCTGTTTGTGTATGAGCACACATACATGAAGCTTGACCAATAACTGAAAGACTCACAACTTGCAAAATCAGCCACAACTAGCTCTCTTACAAACACTATTAACTGAATAACTGCCTACACTGGCATGAAGCAACTGATGGAGGGAAGAGCTGAAGAGAAGAGTACTTTTCTCAGAAGAAAGGAAACAGCCTTTACATCAAAGCTTAATTTGGGCCAATGTGCAGAGCCATCCTTGCATCCATCCAGCCAACATTTGATGAGCACCTACTATGTATAAAAAATGCTGGGTGCTCTGACTTCAGCTGATTCTCTGTCTCTTTCCCACATAAATCTCTATCTTATTTTCTTTCTTTTTTTTCTGAGATGGAGTCTTACTCTGTCACCCAGGCTGGAGTGCAGTGGCACAATCTTGGCTCACTGCAACCTGCGCCTCCTGGGTTCAAGCGATTCTCCTGCCTCAGCCTCCCAAGTAGCTGGGACTACAGGCACATGCCACCACGCCCAGCTAATTTTTGTATTTTTAGTAGAGATGGATTTCACCATGTTAACCAGGATGGTCCCAATCTCCTGACCTCATGATCCACCTGCCTAGGCCTCCCAAAGTGCTAAGATTACAGGCATGAGTCACTGTGCCTGGCCATATCGCTCTTATTTTCTAAATACTTTCCTTAGTATGGAAGGACTATAGTCTGGCCCTATTGAAAAGGATATTGATAACATCAAAGCCTATTGATGGCCCCACAGAAATACAGGCTCATGAGTTAAAAGATGGTACCAGGCATTACCTCCTACGTCTGTGGTTCATGAGGAATCAAGCAAGGAATCTTCAGACTCCCTCAGATGGAGTCTCTCATCTTTGAGATCTAAACACTTTATTTTGTCTCAGTTGAAGGCATTACATTCTTAAAGAGGAAGGCAAAGGGTGAGAAGGGTTGGGGGCTTCCTTTGGGTGTTGACTCCAACACATCCGTTCCCTCCTACCCCTCCTCCAGGCACATCCCAGCCCTTGAGTTTTTCTTATGTGCCACACATCCAGAATGGGCACCTGGGACATTTGTGCTTCTATCTTTTCCATCCAATGGGAACTGCTCCCCATTCCAAGGCACAGCAAGTGAGGTAGTCTCGGGCACACAGCTGCATTGCCAAGGCCAAAACAAACGCATGGCCTATGTGCACCTGTCAATTGCCTTTCAGTAAACACTAAGGATAGTTTTGTCTCTCTCGTAAAGCACACATGGAATCTACCATTGGTGTCTCCTAGAAAAGTCTTAAAAAGTGCTTTGAAATCAGGCACAACCCCAAAGGAGGGTCCCTTTCACAGCCCACTGCATTGAATCAGCTTCATGTGTTTGCTGAAAGCCACAGAGTGAGAAATCTAAGGTGAAACCCAGGATACAAATCCAGGCCAGATGCTATGCAAAGTATCCTGCACTCCTGAACTCTCCTGTCTCAAAGGTAACAGGAGCTCACTGGGCATGATTGTACTCAGGTAAAGGAAAAATCATACCATGGAGAGAATCTAACTGTTTGCCATCACACTTCAAAGATATGAATTTAGGTGACCCCAGGAGCAAGGGAGAACTGAGTTTGTGAAGATTTCACCCATGCACGCCCTTGGCTACTTTGGCAATGAGGAGTAACTTGTGCAGTGCTGCTCAGTGGTAAGGGGTTCATTCATCCATCCTCCCCTCCGTCAATATTCACTGAGCACCTCCTACATGCCAGGTGCTGCAAATGGCCCTGGAAATATGGCCTTTGTGGGGCTTACGTTCTATTCAGGGAGGAGGATAATCAGAAAACTTTTACATAAATATGCAAAATAATGGGAGATGGGAATAAATGAAATCAAGAAAAGTCAGGCAGACAGGAAGCTGGAAGTCACAGATGGAATGGAGAGCAATTCTAGATGGAGGTGCTCAAGACCAGCCTCCCTGAGGCCGTGACACTGGCATGGATGCTTGGTGAAGGAATTACCTGGAATCAAGGGTTTCAGGCTGAGCTGATGCCAAGTTCAAATCCCTGGGGCAGGACCACAGGGTGACCAGGTGGCTGAAATGAGTAACAGGAGGGAACCCATAGAATTGGTGTAAGCAGCTGAGATGTAATCCAATGCCAACAGGCAGAGGCTAAAGGGCAGACCTGCCTGCATCCTAACTTGGCCTCTTATTAGCCAAATGCCCTCCTTGGAAAAGGTGGTGGACCCTCTGAAGTTCGTCATCCTCATTAGGGAAATCATAAGAAAGATGCCCATTTTCAAAGACTGCGTGAGATCATGCTTCTAAAGCATTTATCAAAATACCTCCTGTAGCGCAAGAGTTCACTCACTGGTGACTGTTGCGGTTTTTCTTATATTTCGGGTTTTCTTTGGCACGTGCCCTCCGAGGAGCTTTAAGTCAATCTTTCTGCTACCTTTCCTTTGCTAAATAAATAAGTTCTTGGCATTTCTCTCAAGTTCGAGAACTATTCCTTCGGGTTGGTTTTCAATTATGTCTGCAGTAAAGAGTCACCCTGGTTATTGGACTCTGTGTCACAGGCCAGTGATAGCTGGAATTTTAGATGTTTAAGAGCATGTAAGAGAGCAATATATGGCTCCCAAATTTTTATTTTGCCAGATAAGGAAAATTTAAAAACAACCACGTCTATCATCTATCATAAATAGCACTTCATGAAGGACAGGATGTTTGGCACAATGATCTCCAAGAAGGGGCAGTTCCTCCCTAGAGAGGTCACCTTTCATAGACATATAGACATGTGTGCATATGTGCGTGTGCACAAGCTTGCCTGTGTGTCTGCCTGGATGTCCTCTTTCTCTCTCTCTCCATATGTTGTGTGTGTGTGTGTGTGTGTGTGTGTGTGCGCGCGCGCACTTCTCCCTATGTGGCAAAATAAAGAGCTGGGGCTACATATTGCTGTCTCACATAATTTTAAAATCTAAACTACACAAATGTGTGTATCTCGCTTTGCTGGCGATCCATGAACACACGTACACAGACCTCTGCCAGCTCCCATTTACAAGCCCTGCTCTGGACAACAGAGGTGTAATCAACGCCACAGGTGGGGAGAAGAGCTCCCTGCGGCTCAGCCTCGCCTTGGGGAAGATGTGATCCGCTGAGCGCAGTGAAGCTGCGGGCACCTGACCTGCTGGCACGATAACTCTGCGCTCGTTCGTGGTCATGTTTGGGGGCGGCATGTGCTTCTCCTCCATGTAGCTGCCGTAGTTCATCCCCACGGTGTCTGGGCTGCCCACCATCTTCCCACCTTTTGCCACACTGCATTCATCAGGAGAGTTCCTGAAGGAAAAGAAGAAACGTTCTTCCATTACTACAGCAACCAAAGAGCATGTCCCATCAACTTCTCACCACACACAGAGAGAACCAAAGAAGGGCAAGGCGGAAGAGACTGAGGGAGAAGGGAGAGGTGGGAAAAGCCAAATACAGTGCCTGCTATGGTCTGAATGTCTGTGTGCTCCCAATACGTGTACTTTGAAGCCCTAACTCCCAGTGTGATGGTATTAGGGGAGAGAGCATTTGGGAGGTATTTCAGCTTGATGAGATGATGAGGTTAGAGCCCCATGATGGGATTAGTGCCCTTATAACAAAAGGAAGAGACCAGAGCTCTCTCTTTCTGTATATGAGGGCAGAGCAAGAAGGTAGCCAGGCCATCTGCAGCCCAAGGACAGAGACCTCCTCGGGGACTGGCCCTGCTGGCGCCTGAGTTTAGACTTCCAACCTCCAGAACTGTGCAAGCTTGAGTCCTGTTGTTTCAGCCAGTCAGTCTGTGGGGCTCTGTGAAGGCAGCCTGCACTGGCTAGGACAGTGCCCGCACTGGCTGGACGGACAGAGCATCCACAAGGGAGGCGGAACTGCCACCTGGCTTCTATTTCTTAAGCAGCTCCACCTGAAGCTGTTGTGTCAAAACTCCATCTGTGACAACTGATTGGGAATACTTGCGGGGAACAGTGAACTGCTCTTTGTTCTTGCAGTATGACAGTAAACAGGCAGAGAAGACAGATGCTGAGAGGCGGCACCAGGGACCCTTGCTGCTCAGCGAGGTTTATCTTGCTCCTTTCAAAACCTCAGAATGAAATCCTCCTGCTGAATTTCAAATCCCTGCAGCCAATCTTTACATACGGAGCTTTGAAGACTTGCTGTGTTCCAGGCTTAGGTGTAGACAGGAAGGGCAGGGAAGGGTGGGGGCTGATGCTAGAGGAGGCCTCATGGGAGTGGACTCCAGCAGTCCTAGAGGACCCTTGGGAAAGGGATGTGGAAGGAACCGTGTGGATGCAGAGAGGGGTCAGCTACTGACTACTGACCTTGGGCAGCAGGTCACAGGGCTTCTGTTAGTAAGGTAGTCACTGTCATTTGGATAAAGTCAAACCTACCTTTCTGGAGAAAGAAAAGGAAAACATTTTAAAAAGTGAGATGCAAAAGCTAGAGGACATTGGTGATATCACACCTGATAGGGAAATGCCAAAATGAAAAACCAGCTTAAGCAGAAAACAGAAAATACATGTCAGTGCCTTCTTAGATGGTTAACACATAGATGGTCAGGCGAGGGTCACTGTAGTTGAGAAGTATTAATATTCAGGGTCTGTGGTCTAAGGTGGATTTCCAGAAATGCCTCTCAGGCTCTATCCAATGCACCTATTTTTTCATTTTCCTGGGAATCTGGGAAAATTCACTCTCTCTGGATTTTAGATTTCTATCCCAGTGTTTCTGGTTGTGGGATCCACTCCAATGAACCCTCATTTATCTTTTCCATACCTTGTGAGTTGGAGTTCTACAGAGAACTTGTAGAATCAAAAAGCTACAGGCTTGGCATGGATGTGACCTTCAAGTCTAAGCAGGTCAAAACCATCTGAGGCAGGAGGGCACTTTCTGAGTGGGATGAGAAGGAGATCATTCCACACCTGAAGGTCACAGCTGGGACGTGGACAGGAAGGGAAAGGGTTTGTTCAGCATCTGGGAACTTGAAAGTATAGGTTTGTTCTCAACATCACTTACAAATGTGTCTGAAGCCTATGGACGGGTCTCAGGTGTTGACAGTGAAGTGGGGGCACGGCCATGTGCAGATGGAGGTCAGAGTCAGGGCCACGCAGGACTCAGGCCCTACCACGGGCCTGGGACACAGCCCTGCCTGATGGCATCCTCACAGCTGTGCTAACATGAAGGAAATTTTAAAATAATAATGGTCTGAGTTCCCATGAAGTAGATCCTGAATATTTCCACCACTGCCGACACATGCATTATTTCCTCTGGATGCTATTTTTCCTGGCTTCGCACATTTATCTCTAAAAGACCCATCCTAATATCAAAACACAGAATGTCTTCACTTGAGACTGAGTTTCCTAGTCCTCTGGAAAATTCCATCAGCTGAGTAGAGTGCATGTGTTTTGGTATATTTGTCTCAAGAAGAGAAGTTACTAGGGAAAAGAAGTTAGAGGGATTCAGTCCTCTAGGAAAAAGACTTTATCCAGATGATGTGAGTAACGCAAGTAACAGCTACAAATTCTAGACAACCTTTGTTCAGTTTCAATCATTCACTCATCCATTTAGACAACTGTTGCTATGTGCCTGCTGTATACCAGGCCCCATCAATTCTTTCTTCTCCAGCAATGCAGTTAACTGTTGAAAAGCAAAGGATCCAAGAGATGTATAGAATTATAGAAACAGGGGACATTGGGGATTTTGAACCCTTGCAGCCAAGGCCTTTTTCATTTTCTTTTAGTTCTTTATAGTTTGATTTTCATATCTGAGCACAAGAACTCCAGGCATAGATCACAAAAGTTTTCCTATGACATTAAAGTAGATCCTTCAGGCCAGTCATGGTGACTCGTGCCTGTAATCCCAGCACTTTGGGAGGCCGAGGTGGGTAGATTACTTGAGGCCAAGAGTTTGAGACCAGGCTGGGCAACATGGTGAAACCATGTCTCTACTAAAAATACAAAACTCGACCAGGCATGGTGACTCATGCCTGCAATCTCAGCTACTCAGGAGGCTGAGGTGGGAGGATCACCTGAGCTTGGGAGGTAGAAGTTGCAGTGAGCCAAGATTGTGCCACTGCATTCCAGCCTGGGTGACAGAGGAAGATTCTGTCAAAAACAAAACCAAAAACAAAAACAAAACCCTTCACCAAATCCGGATATGATGAACTATTAAAATGCATTTTGCGAGAGTTTTCTAAAAATATGTGTAAATATTTAAAATAGGCAATGGCCAGTAAAGCTACGGTTTTCCTTTTACAACAACATCCAATTATCTCATTAGACTTTCCCATCCTAGCTTTCATTGTGGAAAACTGCAGAATGAGGCCCTCAGACCCTATTTCCAAAACTTACAACTTTAAAGTTATTTTTTCCATTGCATTTTGGTTTAGCTTTAGAAAAAGATAGAACAGAGCCACTTTTTTAAAATTATTATTTCATGTGTTTTTTTGTAATAACTCTGAGGGAACTCCGTCCCCAAAGAGGGAACGATAATGGAAAGGGTCGCTGAAGTGCTAGACTCAAAGCGGATATTCAACAAATATTAGTTAAGCAGGCCCCAGCTGTTCTGTTCTCACTTTTTAGTCTTTTTCCCTTGTTAATTCTCTTGTGTTTTTTTTGTTTTTTTGTTTTTGTTTTTGTTTTTTTTTGAGACAGAATCTTGCTCTGTTGTCCAGGCTAGAGTGATGCAATCTCGGCTCACTGTAACCTTCTCCTCCTGGGTTCAAGCGATTCTCCTGCCTCGGCCTCCCAAGTAGCTGGGATGACGCACCTGCTACCATGCCAGGCTAATTTATGTACATTTTGGTAGAGACGGGGCTTCACCATGTTGGCCAGGCTGATCTCGAACTCCTGACCTCAGATGATCTGCCTGCCTCGGCCTCCTGAAGTGCTGGGATTACAGGCATGAGCCACTGCACCCAGGCTTCTCTTGCAAATTTTAACAGAAAAAGAGTAGCGTTAACATGTTTAAGACCTGGTCTGGGAGCTTAACAGTTGTCAAACTTCACCACAGGGAACTGTGTTGCTGGCATCATCTCCACTTTCCAGAGGTGCGAACTGAGTAGCAAAACACGAGGGGCTGCCTCCAGGACTCACAGCCAGGAGGAGGTAGAATGAGATGTCAATCTGGGTGGCTCCATCCTGCTTCTTGACCCTGCACAGAATGACTCCACCGAGTAAAGGCAAGACAGTGTCCTTTAAAAGGTAACTAGATCTTAATTTCCGGAAGGCAACAGGGACTCTCTGATCCATAGACTACTCTGGTTTAAAGTGTACACTGAAACACTCACCCTGACATGCTGTCCTACCCCAGGACTCTTCATTCCCTGCACAGCATGTGTATGTCACAACCAGGGTACATATTCAAGACACAAATAAGAAAGAGGGGTAATTCCTGGAGAAGAAAAGGATTTTCAGAGGTATCTGCTTTACTTAAGAAAAGGACGCCAAGCACAGTGGCTCACACCTATAATCCCAACACTTTGGGAGGCCAAGATAGGCGAATTGTTTTATCTCCAGAGTTCAAGATCAGCTTGGGCAACATGATGAAACCGTATGTTTATGAAAAATACAAAAATTAACTGGGCATGGTGGCACACCTGTAGTCCCAGCTACTCAGGAGGCTGAGGTAGGAGGTTCACCTGAGCCTGGGGAGATTGAGACTACAGTGAGTTGAGATCATGCTACTGCACTATAGCCTGGACAGCAGAGTGAGACCCTGTCTCAAAAGAGAGAGAGAGAGAGAGAGAGAGAGAGAGAAAGGAAGAAAGAAAGAAAGAGAGAGAAAAAGAAAGGAATAAAGAAAGAGAGAGAGAGAAAGAGAAAGAAAGAAAGAGAGAGAGAGAGAGAAAGAAAGAGAGAGAAAGAAAAGGAAATTTTACCACAATTCAGAGAACGGAAAAGTGTTCACTTGAAAGTCTCACTATAAATACATTTTTGGCTCTTTGCCCAGGTGTGATGAGAAAAGATCCACACTGCAGAAAGCTGTGTCTTGATTACCACACTGCAACCCCACCTTCACCGGGCATTCCGAGGCTCACATATCACCAGGGAAAAAGTTCCCACAAACAGCTTGGTATGCCACCTGCACCAAGTGCTTCCCAGCATACAGGACCACGTGTTCTCCATTCTCACATGATAAGAATTTGGAGGTTCAATTGTGTACATGGCAAAGAGCACACTGCACAGGGAATGAACAGTCCTTACGTAGGACAGTATGTCAGGATCGGGGCTGCAATGCACACTTTAAACAAGAGTAGCATATGGGTCGGGGAGTCCCTGATGCCTTCCTGAGATGAAGATCTA